ACTGATTTTGATATTGATTTAACAGACTATCAGCAGTATACCTTAGAAGATAGTATCACCGTTGGTGAACTGTATGAAAAGACTAAGTTACCAGTCTTGCGTTTCTATTTAACAACCAAGAAGAGAGTTCTTGCTAGTGACACTGATCAGGAGTTGAACAGTGTCACAGCTGCACAAGAAAGTGAAAAGACACATGACACACCTGACCATTCTCATACTTCTAGCACTCCTAAAACTGATGCTGTAGAAATAAATGCTTCAGATGTCATTTATGTTGGAAGCAACGCAGTATTTCCAAATGAAAGCAGTGAGAGTGTTTCTCTTCTTTGCACTACAACTGACTCCAGTGTTGCATCTGGTTTGCCAGAATATCAAGATGTCATTAATTTGGATGCTTTAGAGGACAGCAGCATTATAACTTTTCACACAGAGAGCATCTCTGGGATGGAATACCCCAGTCTTGAAGACACCTTTCCTCTTTCTCGGGAATTGTCTGCTGAGTCACCTTTGCCTCATTCCATGGATATGCTGCAGGAACCAATCGCCCAGAAAGAAAGAGTGAAGAAAGTTGTTGTGCTTCATCGTGGTCAGATTCTTAGAGAACTTATTACCGTTTTTTGTGAGCAAAGCATCTTGGAGGATGACATTTACTTCAAAGTGATTCTCCCAGATGGAAGACTTGAAATGGCTGTGGATGATGGAGGTGTTCTGCGGGATGTGCTGTCAGAATTCTGGAATGATTTTTATGAGCAGTGCACTATGGGAAATAGCTTTAAGGTGCCATATCTACGTCATGATTTTGGTAAACAAGAGTGGGAAAGTATAGGTCGAATAATCAAATTTGGCTGGCAAAAAGAGAGGTACCTTCCTGTAAAACTGTCACCTGTACTTCTGGAGCAAGCTGTTTTTGGCTCTGTGGAGAGTGATCTTGTGGACAGTTTTTTTAAGTATGTGTCAGCGTCAGAGCGAGTGATCTTTGAATCCTGCTGTTCAGATTTTGAAGGTGTTGACCAAGAAGAATTGTTGGAAATCATGGACATTCACAGCTGTCGTAGGATTCCAACAGCTGATAACATTGAGCAAATCTTGAGGGAACTTGCCCACCAAAAACTGATTCAAGAGCCTGCCTTTGTAATTGAACAATGGAGCAGTGGGCATTAATCTGGATGCTTTAGAGGACAGCAGCATTATAACTTTTCACACAGAGAGCATCTCTGGGATGGAATACCCCAGTCTTGAAGACACCTTTCCTCTTTCTCGGGAATTGTCTGCTCCTGGATTTGCTCCTGGGCATTCTCCTGAATGCCCAGGAGAACCAAATTGTGAAGTATCTAAGTGCATATCTTAGAGAGGCAGACACACACCACCTGTCCTGTTTCCTCAGATTTTGCACTGGATCAGACTTATTCACAGGAAAGAGCATCACTGTCAGCTTCACACAAGTGCAGGGATTTCAGAGAAGACCCGTCGCTCATACGTGTGGCTGTTACTTGGAATTGCCAGTCAGTTACGATAACTACCCAGATTTTCGACATGAAATGAACAGAGTCCTAGAAAGTAATGTGTGGGTAATGGACATTGCTTAAG